TATTTACTGTTAAGTCGGTACATAAAAAGGATCATGTCTAAAGTGCTAAATACCAAATACGAGAACATAATCGCATATTAAAATAAAAAACAAAAGGGAACAATATTTTTATTGTTTCATTAACAGCGCTTGTTTTGGAATGTGTTATCCTTAAAAAAGATGTAGACATTTTAATCTTTTACTTTAATTGTGCTAAGACTAAAATGAAATTTCGAGACAATGCTCTAGCGACTAAGCCGAGAATACCACACTACAAAGTTGGTCATAATTGCAGGATCAACCTGAGGTACATCCACGTATAATACACATATTTATCACAGGCGAAATGTAAAAAGTCCTGAGCGACACTTGACACTTCACTTGTACAGGTCAAAACGTTCAAGTTTGTGTCAGTTAAATTCTACAGGTATAGATAGCAATTTAAACTAGCTGTGCCCAAAGGATCGTAAAATTGTCGTTTGGCTATTCAAAAGCAATATTCTGTCATACATAAAAATCAACGAATGTAATCAATAAACGGCTTAAGGCGTATAGCACAAACCAAGGCATTTCCTGCCAATGGTCCCAAACTGACCATCTTTTGTCTGACAAATAAATCTTCTTAATCCTGTTGCTATGATTGTTGCCAGTATACACAACTTTGTTTTCTTAAGGTTTGTACAGAGATGAATGGCAACAAATATGCATGCACTCCTACAAAGGAGTTCAAAGCCTAAAACTGAAACCTCTAAAAATAATAATATATAATAAAATACTTTATTTAACTGCGGCATCTATTGTAATTCTATGCACACATCCTGTACGTAATCCTTTTGCATAAAACAAATAACATAAAGAAAATGCAAAAAATAAAAAAGGATCTTCTGCCAGTGTAAGGCTATTTTCTACTTTACAGTTAATCTCCTAATATTTTTAATCGCCAATCAGAGGTGCACAATAGAGCCTAACTTCACAATTCATAAACTTCACATTCTGTTGGCTTAACTTGTGGCTTAAATTTCATTTCAAAGATACACGTACACGCATGCCAATTCTAAATCTGCACTTACACTCCATAATTTGAGATTTTTAACACCAAAAACACAGAAAACACAGAAAACTGAAGCCAAGAAGAGAAAAGCATTAAGCGGCAAATTTGCGTAAAGCTGTAAATCTGCTTACAGCAAACAAACTCGACTTAAAATAACAATTAGTTGCGATTTAAACGATTCAATTTTAAAAAATCGGCTCAAGTAATCTAAACATTGGTATTTCCGAGGCAAACAAGTGCTCTTCAGACTTAGCACTTGACCAACCGCTATTATGGACCGCTTAGCCAAGCAACTTCGTTTGTACAACTGCCATTAATCTGTACAATCTGCTATTAGCCGTTTTTGTACAAATTCGTTTAATATTCGCCTCGCCATTCAGTTGCTTACCTAATTATCGACTCGATTGTCGATTTTCGATTGTATCTACGCTACTGCGAGTAATTGGCAGTGGTAAATAAACATGCGACGCAATGCTATTGAACCTATGAATGATAACGTATTGACACCTTTAATGAATGTACGTGTATCACTAACCCAATTAGGTATCGACAGTTCTACGTACAAATTATGCGTAATCTTCACGTCACCAACTTTATCTTATCTCTACGAAAAGTGTTAGCGCAACGCTGTATAGTTTAGGTCTTCCGCATGCTGACTATGCTTCTATATACTTTGGACTTAAATCTAGCGCATGCCTTCCAATCGAAGAAGGAAATAAATCATGCTGTTTAAGCGGAAAACGACGTCATGAAATATTACAATATATCTTCAATATTTTTAAATCGAAGTTAATAAATTTAAGTTTAGCGGGCAAGGAAAGTTAACCCTGAACTTCAGTGAAAGATATAAAAAAATATTCGTATAAGTTTTAAATACCATATGACGAACTATTTACATTGGCAACGAAATTAGGGTATACCTTTTATCTAATGTGAATCACTAATAATTATGGATTGAGCTATCATAAAATGTATGTTTGTTCAATGAACTATGTATGAAATTATATATTGATTAATGTTAAATACTTACTTTACTTATCATGAATTTACAATATATTTAAAGCACACGAAATTTAGAGCTTATAATGTATGATAATTTAATTATTTTTATATATAGTTGCAGCGGTCTTGATAAGAGCATTTGATGGCAACAACAAGTTACGTTCTGTTCTGATCTGTAAGAAGCATGATGCCGATTTCCATCTTTGCGGGCACAATCTACAATGTAATGCAAACGTTGCCAGATCTGCGACCTCCAATCCATGATTTTATTTAAGAAAACTTTTCGCAAAAATTAAAGCTTCCTCCAGAAGCGTGTAGACTACCAAACGACACTACCATTCTCTGATCGCGATCTTCACAGGTATCTGTGACTTCTATACAAATCTATTACTATACGATTATTTAAAGATTTCCGCAACATAATTTATTTTTACAAAACTAATATAACATATATGACCTCTACCATTAAATACACATCAGCAACATTCTCTAAAGCTAGTGCTTCCATAGCTTGCGATAAGTTTTCAAAGAAAAATTCATTAAAATTTTCTATCATATTATTTTTTTTATTAAAGAGAAATATCTCAGTTCAGTAAAATAAAAACTAAAAACACTCAAAAAATATCGGCAAGAAAAATATAGATTTCTGAACATGTTTCCTGAAAAATATTTTATGTTGAAGTCAAAATATGGAACCAAAGAAAACTAAATATCTATATACTATTTTAAGTTTTTTTTGTTAACATTTAATTTTTAGCAAAATTTGACCAATTAGTCCAATATAACTCAATAATAGTAACTTCTTGAGAATCATCCAAATTCCAGAACAGTACCTTTCTGAACCAATCTTATTGCTTAACTATATTAATAAAAACATCTATAAGCCACTGAATGAGTTGATATACCAAAATTCTTACAATTTTACTTCAAATGCCATTTGAACACAGAATTATGAAGTATTTGATACATATCACAAGCAATTACAGAAAACTTCTGAAATTTAGTCTCTTAAATTCTCTAAACTTTTTTCGTTTACACGTATTTTCGTATTTATGATGTGAGTTAGATTTTTGTATACATACCTGTCTTGGATGTTATAGTAGCAGTCTGCAGAACTCTTTCAACCACGTTGAATTGATCCTCAGATCCTCAGATAATATTGATATTCCTTAATAATATGAATATTTTTATAATGGATTTTGGACCGATGTCAGACGACATCGTGAACGTCAGACGATTACATGTTGTACTACTAAAGTCTAATTCTCATACTACTGATCTTAATAAATACATATTGCACTGAAGTTTCTTAAACCGTTAAAGTTTTTTAAGATAACATCCCTAATAATATGAGAAACTTAAAAAGCAATGTAGGTATAGTAAAAACTGATAACTCATTAAACTGTTATATAAAATTTAAATTTAATGATTTAAGACTAATTGAAACTAATAAACAAATGTAAAATGCACTTTAAGCGTAGGTTTTCCAGTTAATTTTCCGGAAAACAATTCTTATCGTATTTAAAAAGAGCTGGCCAATAAAAAAAGATATTTTCAATAATATTTCCTTCATTCTTAGAGCTACAGCAATAATTATCAATGTCCTAACATCATTAACACTTCTTTTATGGAGCGAATTTCTTAGGCAATTAGGTCTTTAGCTTTTCTACAGAGATGTCCAACGTTAGAATTAAAAATATCGTGTGTTTTATAAGAACCGAAAAATGGTACTATAAGTAAAAGAGTTAAAGTCCCGGGTTAAGCAGTGTTATCACAATAGGCCTGTAGGATTTAAGGATATATGTCAACTAGACTAACTGTCATGGAGTCACTATATTTCTTTTTTATTTAAAAGGTATCACCTTTCTCATTGCATTTGGATCACCAGATTTTTTTTCCATTTTGGAAAGGTCGACAGATGTCTGCACATCCTTCTATTTTGTATTAAATCCAGACACGACCAAAAAAAGAAATAAATATATTTACAACATCTAACCAGAAGAAGGACTTTTATATTAATAAACCGCGAAATGGCTTAAAGTTCTCCTTCTGGTTTCCACAGAATGTAAAGTGATTTGAATTCTTAAACGAAAACCTATTGTTGGATTTCTAAATAGCCTCACATTGTGAACGTTAACTTGGGTTAACCTTCTAATATATAAGTTTATACTTATAAATAAAAAGTTTTAGATATTTTTAAATATTCTTTTTATTTGATGCAAATTGATTTAAATTAATTTACAAATCATGGAGTTCAATACAAAAATCTTTAAACATATATTTAAGTTAAGACATACAAAACATTCGATATAATACAATAGTATAAACGTACAAAAAGATATTTATCTTACTTAAACTAGTAAACTATTTTATAAAAGCACACTTACAACTGTCAATTTTATCACAGATGGGGATATTCTCTTATGTATATCTACATAACTTTTAATTATCTGATAATTAATAATAAAATATTTGATGCGGGTTGTTGATATAATGAATTACAAGTACTTAAACGAATACTTCAATTAACGAAGATTTAACATATTATAATTACAATAGGTATTAATATATTCATAAGCTTATTATAGGAACCAGTAAAGTCATGATAGAGACAGCACTTAAGGCCAATGTAGCGAGATAACATTAATGTATCTGTGCTGTAGTGAGATTACTTAGCACTTGTTTGACTAGAATTATTTTTCAATGAAATTCAATGAAAACGAAAGTGAAAATGATAAGACAAAACGATATTTTGAAATCATTTCTATATATGGTAAATGGAATAAATAATATACTGAATTCATGGAGTAACCTAAGGAATGATACTGCTATCATATTAAGAGATAAAACTTGAATTGCTAACCTAACTTATTGTCTTTTAAATATACACATATACATACATAGGACTCAATACAATAATATTATAATTTACAATTATAAATTTATGATGATTCTAAACGATGCAATTTGCATTTACAGTTGCTGTGTTTCGATAATCGTTCGATTGGTGGCATTACTGACTGTACTCACTGTAGACGTCATGCCCAAACGTTTCTGCTTCTTAGTACGTTTATTTTGATTTCGGCGTTTATTTTTATTTTTACGTTTATTATTCTTGCCTTTATTTTTTCCTTTATTCTGTGCTTTTCTAATACCAGTGGTTTGCTTTTCAATTTCGTTAAATTCCTTCCGATTGTCCTGCAATGCGAATTGTCCTTTACGTCGGGTAGACTTGCTTAAAACTTTCCACATCGTATGCAGAAATTCATAGAAGTAGTATTTTACAAATTGTAGGTCAATGGAGTCCGCTTCATGTACTTCGTTTGGTTGATTCTCCAAACGACGTTTGGTGTGCAACTTAAGTCGCTTATTCATCTGTTCCCGGGTGATATGCTGCTGCAGTCCATTGCCATGTGAATTGTAGCTGCGCGTATCGTTGACGGCAAACTCCAGTTCGCAGAGCATGTTGAGTGAACTAATCAGTAACTTTTTCAGTTCCCGTGAGGTTGGACTTTCATATTGCGATTTGGAATGATCCCATTTGAGTTGTACACGACGCAAATATGCAAGGGAACCGACAAATGTTTGCATGTTGCGGTACCACCGTTTAAGGGCGATCTGTAATTAAAGAGAATAGAATAGGTTTATTAGATTTTTATTACTTTAAATTCTATTAAATTCAAAAAAAAACGAACACAAGTTAAAATAGAAAATATTAATACACATATAAGAAATTGAATTTAATTTAAATGTTGAGTAAACAGACAAGAGTGTTTGAGTTGGATTTAGTTTTAAATTACTATTTATGATTCTACATTAAGACCGAAAAGTTTTCGGAAATTCTCATTTAAAATTCGCGCGCTGTATATTTTTCGATATTTTAATTTATGTAGTTTGGCAGCACTGTCCTTAATTACTATGCCAAAAATGAGCGCGATCTGTCAGACAGTTCGTTTACGGCAGCTGTTGAAACCAGTTCACCTCAGTAGGGCGTTGCGAAAAAAACAATGGAAAAAAATATTGAACAAAGAGTTTGCATCAAATTTTGTGTTTCGAACGAAATTTCGTGTGCAGAATCGTTGCGAATGCTACAAAAGGCTTATGGGGAATCAGTTTTATCGAAAACTCAAGTTTATGAGTGGTACAAAGCCTTCCAGGACGGTCGTACGACCGTCGAAGACATTTCGCAACGCACTACTGAGGTGAACTGGTTTCAACAGCTGCCGTAAACGAACTGTCTGACAGATCGAGCTCATTTTTGGCATAGTAATTAAGGACAGTGCTGCCAAACTACATAAACTTAAAATATCGAAAAATATACAGCGCGCGAATTTTAAATGAGAATTTCCGAAAACTTTTCAGTCTTAATGTATGAAATATGATCTTAAAAGATGCAACAAAAAACAAACTATCTTAACCTGCTTAATAGACATAATGTGCTGTCTTGATGGAGGTGACACCGTGATGGAAGCAAACACAGTGCTATACTTAAAGCTTTCCCAAATGACTTTTGTAGGAACTGATATGACAAGCTGGAGAATAATACGATTTAACATTTATCTGTAACTATGTAAAATGAAAGAACTTTCCTAGTTGTCTTCTCTACTAGAATTTCTCTCTGAGAAATAGACAAAATTGATTTTTCTTCCCTTTTATTGTTTACGAAACTCTTTAGTTAGTTTCGTAGAGAAAGGTAAAGGATTCCTTGAATGCAAGGTCGTGCTGTCACAATAAGCCAATAGTAGGTAGGCACCTACTTAAACAATATTACATATTAATATTACATATTAACTTAAAATTAATTAAATGTTTTTGTCTCAAAAAGCTGTAATAGATAATGATAAGGTGATGAGATTGTTTAAAATTCTATACTAGAACAATTTACAAAACTATTCTGTTTTGAGCTTTGATTGTCTCTCTTTTCTTTATTTCATTAATAAATTATTTTTCGAATTACACTATTTATTATCTGTATTTTATTGCACTTTTACTGATAAGATTAAAAATTAAAAAAATATATTGATAAGAAAGTTGAAAAAGTGCACAATTAGCTTCAAATTGGTGCTAAACTGTCTGATATATTGTTAAATATACCTACAATCCATAAAAATCAAACGAAATTTTATTAAAATGAAGCAGATATTAGTATAACAGAAGAAATGGCAAATCTATGGACTACGTATATATGAATACACATGATTTAAGCATGTGACCCGATGCAATATGAAAACAGAATTATTAACTTATAAGTACTGTAATATTATTACTTATGTAATAAAGTGATAAATAGTAATCAATAAGAATGAAAGTTGAACTGTTGGAACTACTTTCATATGACTACTGCAAAATAAATTTAGTGATTAGATTGCTTCCAATAAAAGCGAATTTGTTAGATTTTGTAATAAATTTAAAAAAAGTCAAATTATACAGAATAATCACTACACATATATTTTACATATTTTTTTTTTATCTTAAATTATTTTGTTTTTCTCGTATAATAAATACTTGTTTAAAAGACATTGCATATAACAGTTTAAATTAATAACTGTTATGTATCATACAGTACTGTTAGCAAATAGTAAGTGTAGAACGTAACTTAACAGAACGTAAGAGCATTATGCCTGTACTGACTACTAGGTGATTAAGAACTATCAACAACATAAAAATAAATATTATTTTAATAGTTTTATTAAAATTGAACAACATTATTGCTAATGAATTCCTGGCTCTATTTTTTTCATTATTCCACTTTTTCCTAAATATTTATAATTACTATACTAAATACTCAAAAGTTTAGTATTTTGCTGTTGTGTTGATTATTGATTTAATGTAAATAAAAGTTAACTACAGCTTTTTAGTTTATTAGTAGTATTAATTTACTCTCTTGGAATATAACATATGAATATTTTTTGTATCTTGAGTTAGCTTAAGTAACCACTATTCGACAAAAACAACAATTAACTAAATTAATGTATCACACTAATAACTTCACTAACATTTTTTAATTAAGAAAAAAAAATTATAAATTAGCCTAGGTTATGTAAAGTAACAAATATGTATAATCATTTTAAAATCGTCATAAACTGCATGACTTGCAAAAATTTTTTTATATATTTAACATAAGCAAAATAATAATATTTTCGCAAGTGTATTTAAGCGTTTTGGCATGTAATGAGGCCTTAAAAAAAGTCAGTAGTAATGACTAATCTATTTGTTTTTGTCGAGTTAATCGTCAGCAAATTTAAATTATTTGTTGTTAATATTATCATTTTCTCAATTAGTTAAATGAATTCAACAAACCGTGTCGATATCAAAAATATAAAGTGAAAATAAGTTAAAAAACTAGCAAAAAAACCAGAGCACTTAATGTGTTTTGATTCTCACGGTTAAAATTAAAGCTACACTGTAAGAAAAAAACAGCATAACTAATTTTTTGGTACTTATAAGCTACAGAATATCCAAAAATATGCTGTGGTATAGCTTTCAGGTTTTATTTATTTTCTAAACTATTACAAATATATATATATATATACAAATATCTGTCACAGTAGTTAAAATATTTTTGAAATTTTTGCGAATATTTTTCAGTGTAACGATTTTTAATGAACAAATTTTCGTAATGGCATTTCCGTAGCAAAACGGAAATTCCTAACCAACTTTAAATTAACGTTAAATAAACATTATTTATAAAATTGAATTTATAGCTTTACTTACACTGGAGTTCATTTTCAATTTCGGTAAAAATTTATAGGTATCATTATAGAGAAACCAGATATTGATATTATTAATGTCAATATCTTGCTGGCTGCCTTTTAATGTGTTGTATTCCTTGTCAGCTGCCTCCTCTAACATTCTGTACACCTAAAAATAAATGTTAACAAAAATTATGTTATTAGAAGAAGATAATTAAATGTGCAGAATAATTAGTTTAGGGAAGTTTAATATTAACAAATTGATTTTAATTAATCAAATTTTCATTTATTTAATTTATTTTTAATCCATTTTATTGTATATAATTCTCGTCGCTTTTCATTAATCGATTTTATTTATTTATTTTTCTTATTTTATATAATATAAGTAAATATTTTTTATAAAAATTATTAAATAAAATAAAACAATTAAAATAAATTTTTAATTTATTTCACTAAATAAAATATAATATCACTGCTTCGATTTCATTATTTATTTTGTTTTCTATTATTTTATTTTACTTTACTTATATTTTAATTTAATTTGTTTTATGTTATTTTATCTTACTTTGATTTTATTTTATTTTGTTTTATGTTATTTTATTTTACTTTTTATTTTATTTTATCTTATTTGATTTTATTTCATTTTTATGTAAAGTTTTGCATAGTTTTGTAAGTTGCATTTAGTTATAAGAAAATATTAAGAATACACTCAGACCAACGTCCAAAAATCGAAACTTTTAAGACCATCGCTAACTTTTAACAAAACTTAAATTGATCTTTAAGCAGTCACCCATAATGGTGACTGGATTAGATTAAATTACGAACTCGAACACTATTTCTTGTATTGTTGTTGTTATTTGCTGTATCAGCATTGATGGTATTGATGTGGTACTAAATGTCTAGCATGGCACGGTAGCAGACCCAATATGGTCACCAGTTTTATAGTGGGGTTCTTTGCAACTAGTTACCACAAGTATTAATTATTCACCTATACAGATTGTTCCGTATCCCTCCTATACAAAGCCTATTTAAGCTCAAATAATGACTGGATATGATATGATATCCATGGCTGTGATAGCCTCAAAAAAGTAAGTACCTATAATATTATTTTTCTAAATAACATATAGATTTATTTGTTAGCTTGTTTTTTTCTTTTGTAATTTATTTAAATATAATATTATTATATTATATATTATTTTATTATTATAATATATTTATATTATATATATATATATATTGTTTATTATTGTATTATTGTTTATATTATATTGTTTTAATTATTTATAAATCCATTTATAGTTTAAATAGTTTATTTTTTGACATATCTTTATTCAATTTATATGTTTTTTCTTATGCACTTCGTTTAATTATATTGACGTAAGTTAACATTTTTTTACCAATTAGTTTATATATAGTATATTTTATATATATATTTTTTTATATTTAATATTATTTATATTTATATATAATATCAATATTTTTTTTTTTGGATTTTTTTGGATGACATTTTCAAGCAATTTATATTTTTTATTTTTTATTTATTTTTTTTTTTATTTTTTCAATTTAAATTTGTTAATTTGTTTATTAATTATTTATTATTATAATAATAATTTATTTATTAATATATTAATTTATTTTATTTCATAATTTAATATTTGTAATGTATGAACTTCTTTTAAAATGTCTCTTTTATAAATTTCATCAATTTTATTATTTAATTTATTAACTATATATTGTTTTATATTCATATAGAGTATAACATTTTACAGTTTAGAGTGAATATAGTTATATATATATTTAAATTTTTTTTTTGTATAAATCTTATCTCATTTGCTTTGTTTAATAATTATTGTTTTATATATATAATCATATAAACTATAACATTTTTTAGTTTATAGTAAGTATGACTATATTGAACTCAGTACATACCTCTTTCTTATTTCTGCGCTTAAAACGTAGCCCAGAGGCGTTAGGATTGAAGGAGCCACCACAAGGATTTAGCCATTCCTCCTCATTGGATAACTTATACCAATTACTGTCACGTTTACTGTGACGCTTGCGCAAACGTGACGTGTAACTGCCGATTGGCTTGTGGTGCATTAACAGCGATTGAATTCCTGTTAAATTACTGAGCGCTGCTTTGTTTGTTATTAAAGTTGATTTTTTGGCAATTGCAGCTTTTGTCGATGTTTCTGTTATTTCAGTAGTCGCCGGCTGCTTGCGCGCTTGTGGTGCTGAAGTTGTGGGTGCAGCGAATGTTTTAGATATGGTCGCTGTTATTAACATAATTAGTAATAAATTACGAGTTGCCAGTTTTAGTGCCTGGTGTGCCTTAAGGATTCTACTGCATTGCCGTAGTAGTGACCGCACGTGACTCTGACGTGGGTGGTTTTTGGTATACTTTAATTCGCTTTGGTACTCCGTTTTGCTATTTTTTTTGATTGCAAATAATTTGCAACCAGCTGAAAATAAGGAAATAAATTCATTATAATAATGTGGATCCAACTATTCATAAACTACTTATATTAAATTTATATCATATATTAAATAAATTTTAAGAACGCTAAAAAACTAAAATCTTAAATCGATTAATATAATAATATAAGAAATTATATTATAAATATAAATTGTTATATACTATATATTTATTACATTATATATTTATGAATGTATGTATTTTCATATTCTTTGTGTATTGCAATAATATTATTCATATTAGAAAAAAATATTTAACCATCAATTTTAATCATAATTTTTACGAAATATATATAAAAAGTAGCTAAACTATATAGCTTTTCAATAGAAAAATATTACAAAAACTGTGAGACTTTGTTATAATGTACGTCGCACTTCTCTGAAATGAGAAATTTTTACAAACTTACAAAAGATAACACTTTAACTTTATAGTAGTAAAAACGGTTTTTAATAGGAAAAGAAATTGACTTTCAGTGAAAATAATCAATTTTAATTGCTTGAAGTTTTATATCTCTCTAATCAGTTAGAGTTTAAGTTATATATTAGGTTTAGCACAATTATCTGAGAAGTCGCAGTGTATCTATGTGCCATATAGTAATGAGAAATTTATATACCACAATGATTTTTACTTTATAGCTATATTTTCATATCGTTTATATATTTAGCTATTTTTTATGTTTTATAATGTAAAGCAACGACTCAAACGGAAAGTATTTTTTACTTTCTATTATTATTATAAAACTTTAAAATTTTAATTTTAAAATTATATTCTAAAAAAAACTAAAAATAAATCACTTGAAAGTTGGAAGGTAATTAGTGCAATAATTATAAATTTCTTATATCTGAAATGAATTTCGTTGACATTTAAAACTAAAAATAGTACATAGTCATCATAATAGGATCTTCCAAAATATAAAATTAAACACTGACTATGATATAAACAAATAATACAAATATAAGTTTATTACATTATATTAGTGATAAATTTATGTGTATTATATTATTAAGAAAAATATAATAATTTTTTACTAAAATGGTTATTAAAATTTTAATTTAAATAATAAATTTAAATTTTGTACTTGAAATATATTAAGTTCCTTTCAAGGATAATTTCATATAAAATTTTTAGATTACATAAATTTTAATTTTTAAGTTTATATTTATTTTATTTTTAATTTTGTTATATTACGAACATTAAAAACAATATAAAGATCATCAAGAAAATATTGAAAACCATTGAAAACTAAATATGTTTTCATATTTAAATTTGGTTTATTTTTAAGTTTTTGCTTATATAATAAAAAAATTATATAATATTGATAAATATATTGGAATAATTTTTAAATGGTTTCATTTTAATAAAAAATGTTTTTTATTTTTAAATTTAGATTTATTTTTTAGATTGTATTATTAAACACTTTTAAAAATAAACACAAATAATATCATTAAGATACTGGGTATTATTTTTTATAGACAGTCGTTAATTTCAAATTTTTAACCGCAATAAAATTATAAAAAATATATTGAAATGATTTTATTTAGATAAAAGAGTATGTTTCAATATTAAGTTTTTAATTTTACATTTTGATTTATAAATTTAATTAATTCTTTTAATTTTGGTATAAATGAAAAGGTTTAAATATATTAAAAAGTAATATCATTTCGTTTTAAATATTTAAATATAAAATATTTAAAATTACTATAAATATTTAATATTTAAATATTTCTTATTTTCAAATTTTTAATTTTTGTTTTAAACTATATTTTACTGGAAATGAAATCACCAAATATTAATAAATATTTTAAAATAGCTGTATTTAGATTAAGTACATATGTTACTTTAATTTTAAAAATAAAACTTGAAATTTTAATTTTAAATTTATTTATATACATTTACTTTCGAACCAAAGATGGTTTATATATATATAAAAAAAATGATTTCATAACAAATAAAATTGTTTACTTAAAAATTATTTTTAACGTGTCTCAACGATATCATAAAATGTAATTTAAAAATTCAAAATGTTTAAAATGAGTTTTAATTATAAAGTTAAATTAATTATTAAATATTTAACCAACATACCTATTAATATACTGCAGCTCTTATCCATTATCAATAAATTTTAAAAATTAAAATTTATAAACAAATTATCAAAATTAATTCACACACCACATAATAAATAATCCAAGGAAAAAAATAATAAGTTCACTCCCACCGAATTCGGAAAACGAAAATCGGTTTGGGTCGTTCTACGAATAGCGTGCGACTTTAATTAATTAACTGGAGCGCACTTTAATTACTTAATTTTATAATTCAATAAATTATTTATTGTTTGTATTTTATTTCACAATCATTAAACCGTTCAACTACTCTCTATAAGCGGTGAGTAGATAAATGTCATTAAATTTTTCGCACTTAATTAGCACTACTAATAATAATAATGATGAATTTTTTTAAGTGATCCAAGTATCCAAATATACACAAGAATTTCAAAAATTTATTATTAATTATAAATCGATATGAATTCCGTTATAATTATACGCCACTCGTACATTTAATTTTTTATTGCTTTATTTGTGGTAAAGCATTTACTTCTGTACTCGACCAAGTTTTAAACTAGACTGAATGTTTGTTTGTTGCAATACTTTTGACCACCTTTCTTTGCTGAGACCCTATCGCAAACGACCACCATCGATCGTCACAGCCAACGCCATCGTTAACTTCATTCATACAATTTTCATGCCATGCACTGTAACTGTAGTTGTGCCTTTTAATCGAGTTATTCTACTACCGTTGTTTTTTTGTTGTCTTATGCGAGTGATATGCTTTAGACGTTTTGTATTGTGCTTTGTTATATTGCTTTTGTTGTTTACTGTGATTTTTCTCACCCAATGATCTCACTTTACTCAATTTTTCCCCTTTACATTGAGTGAGTTTATTTCATGACTTTTTATTTGCTAAGCATAAGCTGAGGTACATTGTTATGCTCACTGTCTTTTGTATGCCTTCTATCTGTGTTGCATGTATTGAGTTATCTTGCCTTGCTTGCCGCTGCTACCTGTGTTCACTGGATTAGTTCCATAGCTTAGAAAATGAAATGTTTTGTGTTTATGTGCGTGTGTGTGTGTGTTTGTGTCTGCTATGACTGAAGCGGTATGTGTAGGGTTTATGTACTTAGTTTGTCAGAAGTAAAACTCAATACACGTCAAGTAACTATAACTTTGACTTATTTACTTAAGCGTGATTCAAACAATGTTTGGGTAAAATACAATACGTTTTGACACAATTTCCATGGGTAGAAGTGTATATGGGTGACTAAATGAAAGGGTTTTTCTCTTTCAATCAATAAAAACGTTACATATCTTATGCATTTCAAAGTAAATAGATGCGTCACTTTCATTTATATTTAATCAAAAAAAAAATTTATTCCAAATGCTGCTGCGATATTATCTCATAATATCTGCAATTAAACGAATCAATGATAATGTCAGGAATTTCATAAAAATTACATCAGGTAAAATTAATTTTCATAAAACTGGAATTTTGAATTAATTTTGACTTAATATATTATTTCAATTGAAATTATATTATTTCATGTTATGAAATAATTTAGAGATGGAGATGAAGTTTATTTATGTGGAGATCTAAGAAACTGATTTAAAATTTATATAAAAAACTTTAATTGAAAAAAATTAGTTGTATGTAGTGTTATTTAATATGTAAGGATATAAAGGACATAAACTCCAGCTCTTGTATATACCACTGCATTCCCTTCAGCATTCCAAACAATTGTCAAAGATATTAATATGATCCCATGGTTACATTAGTTGTAACCCCGCCTCACGACGCCTCAAGTGCAACTAAAATTGACCGCAGAATATAGTCTTACGAAGAAGCACAGCTTGAGTTTTTCTTTGCGCCTCGGCAACTTACAGTTAAGCTCAACTATGCGTTAAAACAGCTGAACGGCAAAGGACAGTAACAGCGCTTAACATTTTTATACGACCCACGCTTCCGATTCATTCGATTCCCTGCCGACTACCTTAATGTCAATAACACCCACGATTTCCTTACCCCATCTTATCTCTTCGACATGCAGCAGATCAGTCAGCAGTCACTGATAGCATATCGTTTTACTCCATGCAACGCCTATCGCCTCTCTTCATGAAAAAGTGCGCTATGTTCTTCAATCAAGCGTACAACACTGACTGCTTACTGTAACCCTGGAAAAAAGTCATAGAGTATTGTCAAATAGACAAATAGACCTTTGCCGAGATTGGCAAACATCAGCAAGCTCTATTAAACATTCATAACCAGCAAGCTGAAGTCCTTTACCTCAGAGAATAAAATTCTCCCAACCTACCAATTTAACTTCAGAATCCAAACTTCCACAGTCAGAAAACACAAAATCACAGTAACACAAAAACTTATGAGATACTTTCGTTCAGGTCAGAACATAAAAGACATCAATACAACTAAATCAAGATTTAAAATTAATTATTAAACATGTCTTTTCGACGAAATTTTTTTTATAGTCTAAGCCCAAATGCAAATCCGTAGTAAGAAATTTAATTCTGGAGTTCATTTTATTATAGTAATCTTAGTATCTTACTTAACGAAAACAATACATATTTGTATTATATGCTTATTTACATATTTTAATTGTTATAACAACCCGTTACGCAGTAGTCGTCTCCTGGCGATTGTGCGCATTTTTCAGTCTTATACATCTGTTGTAGTTAGTGCTTTCTCAACTTGATCACTTCACAGATGACATGGTATACCTCCATGCCTTCTTCATCCCACTACC